CCCCTTCCCCCCATCCCCCACTCCTGGGCTTAGATGGCTAACCTTGTATCTCCTGTAACCTAGTTGTGTTCCCCTCCTCACCCCCATCCCTCTATTGTTAGTCCCTTGATCGGGCGATCTGTATTTCCCTACCGACTTTGTCATCTTTTTTGGATTCCCAATCCTAAACATTTACTAATAAAAGTCAATCTGTTTTTATTTACCGGCTAATTTACTGCAGATCCACAGTGATGCCTAAATATTTCCCTAGGTCTAGCATGTTCATATTTTATTAACTTAGGTGCAATGCATTACTTTTAAACCATTATGAATGTCCATTGTCATGATGCCTGTTTGACTTGCAGTTGTCCAGCATTATTAACTGCAACAACTTAGTTAATCAGTAAACTTCCCACACTCCATTCACTTACCCCTTTGGGCCATAATCGGGAAACTGGTCCCTATTCAGACCACTGTGGCATTCCACTATTAATGTTTGTTGACCTCACACTACAATGCACAGCAGCAGTTGCTAGTCTGAAGCATCCTGTTCTCTTCTGATTCAGGTGATGAGATCTGGAGGTATCACAGCTGTCAGTACAAGGAAGAAACCACTCCATGGCACAAGAGACTTTTCAATGGGTCCAGCAGGGCTCTCTGTGAGTGTATTTTATTTCTTGATATGACTGCGTGAAGTAGCTGTCGTCAGTTGAATGTGTTTCTCTGGGTGTTCATTTTGTTATACATTGCAGGGAAAAGCAATGAAGAGATCCTTTGGGCCATTGCAGATGATGCAGGATGCTGGGACTCCTCAGCTCAAGAGTGCCATATACCTAAATTAAGTGCTTTTATGGCCTGTGGTTTAGTTCTGGTAGCTACCTTCTGTGAAGCAACAGTGACCTCCTATGGACAGCTAGGCTGCTTCCCTCGGTAAGGAGTTTTTGAGCGCGGTTTCATTTAACTGAGCTAAAGAACTTGTTATGGTAGAAATCGGCAAAACCCAAAGTATTGGCGGACTATCAACATGCAGGCATGTACACATTTACACACGGACAGAGAGATTTGATAAACTGACAATTGAATCTTTGCTTTCCAAAAAAGGACTGGTGAATTCACTGCTGGAAGAAAATGCCATGTTGGCAAATTTGGTGAATGATGACATGGTTTCATGCTAACACCATAGTTCTTTTAATAAGCATATTAAAAAGCATGTTCAAGTACAAATGCACAAATCAAGGCTATATAACTTCAATGGGAATCTTTTGCTTGACTTCAGCAGGCTTTGGCTCAAGGTCTTACATTGTACTCTTACAGAGTGGGCTTAGATTTATTGTATATGGCCCCACTGATCTCCTGGTGGGATTGCGTATTAACCTCTTGCATGTTACAAGAAGCCCATTATTTTCTTCAGCTCCATGTGTTCTTTTTTTTTCAGCTGGATCATTCTGCCTGCAGGAGGAGAAGAAAGCTTTCTCATGCTTGCACAGGAGGGAATGTCTCTTTGATGATAAAACCAGCTGCCTTCCTCGGGGTCTGCAGGCTGTTCGCATTGGAAACGCCAGTGAAAGCTCTGGATGTATCCTGCAGGTATTACTTCACTAGAACACTGGATTCTTAGCAGGCAGACAGTCATTTTTAGAAAGTGGAGGTGCCTCAGTTTACATGCTTCTTGGGCTACACCCCAAACGGGTGTAAGCTTACTCCAACTGAATAGAGCAGATTTATACTCGCTGAGGATAATCGGCTTTTTTAAACATCTCTCAAGCATTTTTTAAAGCATCTATGTACTTACTACACTCTCTGGAAACAGTGCACACTTAAATGACCTTTGAGTCTTATTGTTCATCAAAGTCTGTGAAAATTATGCAGTTGAGAGAGTTGTGTGGTTCAGGCCTGATTTTGTTGTTGTTGGTGTTCTCATTTACACTAGTATATAGCCATGGGCCAGCTATTCAGCTGTCATGAAGCAAAGTATCTGTATGGAAGTCAGCTGGACTGTGCCAATTTATGCTGGAAAAGGTCTAACACATGGGTTTAATATGTACAGAATTCAAATAAATTGGTATTCGGGGGATGACTTTAATTCTGGGAGAGGGAACATTGGAAGAGGCTGAGGACCAAACAACAAAGAAATGATGCAGGCAAAGCCTACAGGGTTTTTGTGGATCATGTCCTTAAAATAAAAGACGTGTTCCTTTCTCTCTGGGACAAAGTTGCCTTATTTTGTGCAGCTTACCAGAGCTGCAAGAGAGGATGGGGGCTGGGGAATACTGAAGCAAAGGGTGAAATAATAGGAAGACAATGAATCAACAGTGTAATATTTTCTTTAGATCAGTAATCAACACAGTTCCTTCAGACCTGCTTTACAGGGAGCTGTACTTGCCTCAGATCTAAGTCTGATTAAGTACAAGGGGGCAAAGGATAAAAAAACAGCCTTTGTTGTTGTTGTTTAAAGCTAATTTGAATGCAGTATTTGCAAACTGACAGTGCTCTGACATCACTCAAGTGAATCACTTGTCAGACTCTGGAGTACCAGCACCTAACTGAGAGGGAAATGAAGCGCTGCCAAAATAAATTGACACATGAAAATTTTGGTGTCCTCCATGTGACCTGCCTAGAAAGCACGAAAAGGAACAGAAAGAGGCTATGTTCTTATGGCAGGAACTGGGCGACTACTAACTTGCTGTCTTTAACTATCAGGAGAGGAAGTTAAAAGAACATTTGTTGATGAAGAAATTAGTTCACACCAGTGTAGGATGAATGAAGCATCCAGGAGGGGCCAGCAGGGAACGGCATGCTCAGGGGCAACCAGCATGGGTTCATCAGCGGCAGGTCCTGTCAGACCAACCCGGTGGCCTTTTATGACCAGGTCACTAAATCATTGGATGCAGGGGTGGCAGTGGATATAGTTTTCCTAGACTTCAGGAAGGCTTTTGATACTGTCTCTCACCCCATTCTCATTAGGAAGCTGGGGGACTGTGGCGTAGACACCCATACAG